AAATATTATGAAATCACCATGTACTTTGCAGGTCTAAAACAAATATCTGCATCAGATTACATCTGCCAATTAGTCTGCAGCTGTTGCACCAAGCTGATTGACATGAATCATGGTTCCGATACCAGACATGTCAGTTGAAACAAAGGAGAGGATTATAAAACTTCTTCAAGAAGGTAAATCATCACGGAATGTTGCAAAATATGTTGGTTGTTCCCAGTCAGCTGTGTCTAATATCTGGACCAAGTACAAAATCAAATGGGAAGGTTGTAAAAGGGAAGCGTACTGGTAGACCAAGGAAGATATCAAAGCCTCAAGATAGAAAAAGCAATATGCCTTGAACACAGAAGTGCACCACAAAACAAATGAGGAGCAAGTGGGCAGAAACTGGAGTCAATGTCTGTGACTGAACTGTAAGACATCACCAAAAGGAAATGGGATTTACATACAGAAAAGCCAAACGAAAACCATCATTAACACCTAAACAGACAAAAACAAGATTACAGTTGGCTAAAGAAAAGCAATCATGGACTGTGGATCACTGGATGAAAGTAATATTCAGTGATGAATCACAAATCTGCATTGGGAAGGTTGATGCAGCTGGAACTTTTGTTTGGTGCTGCTCCAATGAAATGTATAAAGAAGACTGAAGAACACATGCAAATTTCCACAATCATTGATGATATGAGGTTGCATGTCAGGTAGAGGTACGGGGGAGATGACAGTTATTAAATCTTCAATAAATGCACAAGTTTATAGTGAGGTTTTTGGACACTTTTCTTATTCCATCAATTGAAAGGATGTTTGGTGTTGATAACATAATTTTTCAGGATGATAATGCATCTTGCCATAGGGCCAAAGCCGTGAAAACTTTCCTTCAAGAAAGACATAGAATGTCAATTGCATGGCCTCAAATAGTCTGGACCTCAATCCAATTGAAAATCTATGGTGGAAATGAAAGAAAATGGTCCATGACATGGCTCCAACCCGAAAAGCTGATCTGGCAACTACAATAAGAGAAAGTTGAAGCCGGATTGATGAAGAATACTATTTGTCAATAGTTAAATCCGTGCCTCAGAGAATTCAAGCTGTTATAAAATCCAGAGGTGGTGCAACAAAGTACTAGTGGTGTACTGTAGTGTTGAATTGATTCCATATTTTTTCCTCTGCTTGATCTGCAAAAACAGTTGCAACTGACTACAGTTTTTCTTTTTTTACATTTTTTTTTTACATGTTTATTAAAGCCAGAATGTTGGAATGTTAAATGAAAATTGTTTTGAGGTATGTCTGTGATTAGTTTTTTTTTTTCTACACAATTAAACAATTGAATTAACATTTTCCAAGAGTGGTGATACCATACTTTTTGCCAGGGGTTGTACAACAGGGTGTACAGAGTACATTGGTCAGTGTTGTTTAATCACTTGAGCTCCGGAAGATTTTACCTCCTTCATAATCAGGCCATTTTTTGCTATGTTATTTTAACTGGCAATTGCGTGGTCATGCAACAATGTATGCAAACAAAATTGATATAATTTGTTTTTCACACAAATAGAACTTTCTTTTGGCGGTATTTGATCACCACTGGGTTTTTTATTTTTTGCTTTATAATTGAAAAAAAGTCCCAAAATTTTGAAAAAGCCCAATGTTTTGTACTTTCTGCTATAAAACATATCCAATAAAAAAAGAAAGAAAAAAAAAATCTAATTTTTTTTCATAAATTTGGTAAAAAAAAAAAAAATCAATATACTCCTATATATGTGTGTGTATTTTTTTGATTTATATACATTTGGTTTTTTTTTTTTGTACTAGTAATGGTGTGTGATTGCGATAGTGTAGCGGCCAATCTGACACAACCAGACGGGGGGGGGGGGGGGGGGGACTAACTGCCACTGACATCTTCAGTGACACTAATACCATGATCAATGCTACTAAAATACACTGTCACTATGCTAATGATACTGGCTGGGAATTGGTTAACAGCTAGGGCAATCAAAGGGTTAAATGTATTCCTAACAATCTTTAGTGTTTGTACTGTGTGCTGTTTTACTAAGCAATGTGCCAGTTTTTCTTCCCTGGTATACGGGGGGAGAAAAAAATAGCACATTGCTGCTGTCTGAAGAGAGCCCTATGTTGTTTACCAACACAGGGCTCTCTTCTGTCATTTGCTCAGCCGATCAGTGGGTCCAGGCCATAAATCATTGTACAACATGGCTTGGGACTGTAGTATTTAACATACAGCACAATGTACGGTACGGTAGTCTGAAGTAACAAACCTGCAGAACAGTGTAGAGAGTACAGTGTAAGAGGATATTTAAGATATAACACAGTGTACAAAATGGGAAGGTCCAGAGTATGTAATATAGGAGTCCAGTATATCTGAGTAACATATAGAGTGCAGCGATTCAAGATACAGTGGATATAAAACACCTGCACACCCCTGTTAAAATGTCAGGTTTCTGTGATGTAAAAAAATGAGACACAGATAAATCATTTCAGAACTTTTTCCACCTTTAATGTGACCTATAAACTGTACAACTCAGTTGAACAACAAACTGAAATCTTTTAGGTGGAGGGAAGTAAAAAAAAAAAAACTAAAATAATATGGTTGCATAAATGTGCACACCCTTAAACTAATACTTTTGTTGAAGCACCTTTTTGTTTTGATTCCATACTTGCAAAAACACTCTAAATCTGTCAGATTGCGAGGTCATCTCCTGTGCACAGCCCTCTTCAGATCACCCCACAGATTTTTGATCGGATTCAGTTCTGGGCTCTGGCTGGGCTATTCCAAAACTTTCATCTTCTTCTGGTGAAGCCATTCCTTTGTTGATTTGGATGTATGCTTTGGGTCGTTGCCATGCAGAATGATGAAGTTGCTCTTCATGTGCTGCTTTCTAGAAGAAGCCTGAAGGTTTTGTGCGAATATTGACTGGTATTTGGAACTGTTCATAAGGCCCCACTTCCAGCTGAAGAAAAACATGATGCCACCACCATGCTTCACTGTGGTACGGTGTTCTTTTGGTGATGTGCAGTGATGTTTTTGCACCAAACATATCTTTTGGAATGATGGCCAAAAAGTTCAACCTTGGTTTCATCAGACCATAACACATTTTCCCACATGCTTTTGGGAGACTTCAGATGTGTTTTTGCAAAATTTAGCCCGGCTTGGATGTTTTTCTTCATAAGAAAAGGCATCCATCTTGCCACTCTAACCCATAGGCCAGACGTACGAAGAATATGGGAGATTGTTGTCACATGTACCACACAGCCAGTAGTTGCCAGATATTCCTGCAGCTCATTTAATGTTGCTGTAGGCCTCTTGGCAGCCTCCCAGACCAGTTTCTTCTCGTCTTTTCATTAATTTTGGAGGAATGTCCAGTTCTTGGTAATGCCACTCTTGCGCCATATTTTCTCCACTTGATGATGACTGTCTTCACTGTGTTCCAAGGTATATCTAATGCCTTGGAAGTTCTTTTGTACCCTTCTCCTGACTGATACCATTTAACAATGAGATCCCACTGATGCTTTGGAAGCTCTCTGCGAACCATGGCTTTTGCTGTAGGATGCAACTAAAAAAATGGCAGGAAAGACCTACTAGAACAGCTGAACTTTATTTTGGGGTTAATCAGAGGCACTTTAAATGATGGCAGGTGTGTACTGACTCCTATTTAACGTGATTTTGAACGTGATTGCTTAATTCTGAAAACCGCTACATCTCTGGCCTTTTAAGAGTGTGCGCACACGTATTCACCCACATTATTTTAGTTTTTTATGTTTACTTCTCACCCCTAAAAGATTTCAGTTTGTTTCAATTGAGTTGTACAGTTTATAGTTCACATTAAAGGTGGAAAAAGTTCTTAAACTATTCATCTTTGTCTCATTTTTCTACATCACAGAAACCTGACATTTTAACAGGTGTGTGTAGACTTTTTATATCCACTGTATGTAACCTGAGTACAGTGCGCTCTGTACCACATCCACATTTGCATTTTTTTCTCACTAGCTACTGACCTGCAGAGAGCCATTCCTCTCTACCAGACAGACACACATTGCGCATCTACACTCACCGGTCACTTTATTAGGTACACCTGTTCAATTGCTTGGTAACACAAATTGACAATCGGCCAATCATATGGCAGCAACTCAATACATTTAGGCATCTAGATGTGGTGAAGACAGCTTGCTGAAGTTCAAACCAAGCATAAGAATAGGGGGTTGTTGCCAGACTGGCTGGTTTGAGTATTTCAATAACTGGTGATCTACTGGGATTTTCACGCACAACCATCTCTAGGGTTTACAGGTGATTGGACGAAAAAGAGAAAATATCCAGTGAGCGGCAGTTGTATGTTCAAAAAAAGCCTTGTTGATGTCAGAGGAGAATGGGCAGACTGGTTCCAGATGATAGAAAAGCAACAGTAAATCAAATAACCACTCGTTACAACCAAGGTATGAATACCATCTCTGAATGCATTACACATTGAAGCAGATGGGCTACAGCAGCAAAAGACCACCCTGGGTGCCACTCCTGTCTGCTAAGAACAGGAAACAGAGGCTACACTTCTCACAGGCTGACCAAAATTGGACAATAGAAGACTGGCAAGATGAGTCTTTATTTCACTAGAGATGGTTGTGCGTAAAAATCCCAGTAGATCAGCAGTCTTTTTAAATACTCAGACCAGCCTGTCTGGCACCAACAACCATGCCATGTTGAAAGGCACTTAAATTCCCTTTCTTCCCCATTTTGCTGCTTGGTTTGAATATCAGCAAGTTGTCTTCACCACGTCTAGATGCCTAGCTGCATTGAGTTGCTGCCATGTGATTGGTTGATTAGCAATTTGTGTTACCAAGCAATTGAACAGGTGTACCTAATAAAGTTGCCGATGAGTGTATGTGATTGTGGCTAACCCGCAGTTTGCAATAAGAGCCACTTGGTGCCCATTTGTAAAGCCTCAATGTGGAGCTCATTTTATTTATTTATTTATTTTTATTGTGTCCAATAACAGTAAAATAAAAACCGTTATGAGGGTTCATGGAAGAATGGGAAAAAACACGGCTTTGGAAGGTTTTATTACCTGGATAAGGGGCAGATGTATGAAGGAACATGGGTGGAAGATATCCCTAAGTGCGGAACTGTGGTGGACTTTGGACGTGCAGAAGCATCTATGCCAACAAAGTATCCTATTCCCGAGGTAACTTGCTTTTAATATTTATACATGCTTTCTGATTTGTCCATTTTTATCTGATATAGAATTGAAAGGATGTGCTATAAATGATATCAGTTTCTTTAGAGTAAGGGTGTCCAACTTTTTGATTTTGCTCTTCGTGTCCTTCATCCTTGCTCACAAATATAGGTGCTGCCAAAAATTGATGGCATGAATGAGTGTGATTGTGAAGACGGGAATATTTTTCTTTGGGAAGATATACAGTTGTGTTCAGAATAATAGCAGTGTGTTGAAAAAAGTGAATAAAGCTCAAAATCCTTCTAATAGCTTTTATTTCCATACATACAAATGCATTGGGAACACTACACATTCTATTCCAAATCAAAACATGAAGAAAAATATATCAAATTGTTGTTGTTCCTCTAAAAAAAATGAAGAAAAGTGAATATTAGACTGTTCAAAAAAAATAGCAGTGTTTTGTATTCTTCTTTACAAACTCAAACATTTACTATATAAACTGAAAAATGTTTGAAGATTTTGCTTTCCTTTGAATCACTTAATGAATATTTCGTTGTATAAGCACTGTTTCTGAGAACTGCTGTACATCTGTGTTGCATGGAGTCACCCAACTTCTGGCACCTGTGAACAGGTATTCCAGCCCAGGATGATTGGACTACATTCCACAGTTTCTCTATTTCTTGGTTTTGCCTCAGAAACTGCATTTTTGATGTCACCCCACGTTTTCTATTGGATTAAGATCCGGGGATTGGGCTGGCCACTTCAGAACGTCAATCTTGTTGGACTGGAACCAAGATGTTGCACGTTTACTGGTGTGTTTGGGGTCGTTGTCTTGTTGGAACACCCATTTCAAGGGCATTTCCTCTTCAGCATAAGGCAGCATGACCTCTTCAAGTATTCTGATGTATTCAAACTGATCCATGATCCCTGGTATGCGATAAATAGGCCCAACACCGTAGTATGAGAAACATCCCCATATCATGATGCTTGCACCACCATGCTTCACTGTCTTCACAGTGTACTGTGGCTTGAATTCAATGTTTGGAGGTCGTCTGACAAACTGTCTCCGGCCACTAGACCCAAAAAGAACAATCTTACTTTCATCAGTCCACAAAATGTTGCGCCATTTCTCTTTAGGCCAGTCAATGTGCTCTTTGGCAAATTGTAACCTCTTCAGCACATGTCTTTTTTTTCAACAGTGGGACTTTGCGGGGGCTTCTTGCAGATAGCTTGGCTTCACATAGGCGTCTTCTAATTGTAACAGTACTCACAGGTAACTTTAGACCTTCTTTGATCTTCCTGGAGCTGATTGTTGGCTGAGTCCTTGCCATTTTGGCTATTCTTCTATCCATTTTGAATGGTAGTTTTTTCGCTTTCTTCCATGTCTTTCAGGTTTTGGTTGCCATTTTAAAGCATTTGCGATCATTTTAGCTGAGCAGCCTATCATTTTCTGCACTTCTTTATATGTTTTCCCCTCTCCAATCAACTTTTTAATCAAGGCACGGTGTTCTTCTGAACAATGTCTGGAATGACCCATTTTCCTCAGAATTTCAGAGAGAAATGCATTGTAACCAGCATGTACAACATTTGCTGCCTTCCTTCCTTAAATAAGGGCAATAATTGCCACCTGTTTTTCAAAGAACGAATGACCTCACTAATAGAACTCCACACTATTATTTTGAACATGCCCCTTTTATTTAGTGATTCAATTACACAGAATCAGCAGCATGCATGTAATGACTGTTGGGTCTGTTGGATTTCTATTACTCTACTACACCTGCTAGTAAATTATTTGCCATGTAGCCAGAACAAGGAGGTTCTTATCTGCAAATTTCTAGGGTATCATTACTAAGGTAGTCAGAGGACCAGCCAATATCCAAAACCATGTATGGGCAGGCTGAATGTTGATTGATCAGCTTGGGTACAACCAGCCTGCTGGATTTTACATATGATTATTGTGGCTGTTATAGCCACTAGCAATAATCATTGTGTCCTCCCAGTGGACTAAGCCCTGTGGAAGACAAGAAAACCTATAGTAGCTGTTGCTACTACAGTGATCCGCACTGTGTTCTGGGTCTTGAGCTGAGCCACTGCCCTACTGCATAACAGGGAATTGCTCACTATGCCTGGGTGCCATTCAGAGGGCAGATGCTCAATGAATATCATTTCTACCAAAAACAGTGATTGATCAGGTTAGTGATTTCTGACTGCTATTATTTTGAACACACCTGTAAAAGTCCAGTAAAGAGACACTGTCAAATATTTCTTCGGCTGCATGTGTTCGCTAAGTGTAAACACATTTTTATGAAAAAAAACCACATTTTTAATCAAGTACGATCTTGGATTGGGTCGTATTCATAGCCATCATGGGCCGCAGGTTGGACACCCCTGATTTAGAGCTAAACTTGACAACATTTTTGCAAAGCAAAATGTTTTCTAATCACAAGCTCAAATGATGGGAAAGCTCTCCTGAAGCTGTGGTACCCAAGATTTGTCTGTGAAAGCCTGTGGTCTCCCACTGACCTTTACCAAATCCTGCTAATTTCCTCAGGATAGGCCAGTTCTCTTCTAATACGGATGAGTACTTTAACAGTACTAAAACAATACATTTGATGACGTGACCACACTTAATTACTTTTTAATGTGCTGTTGTATACACCATGGGGTGTGTCTGTATAAACAAATTATGTATTCTTTCCAGATATTGATATCATGAGCAGTGGGAATGTGCTTTTAACATGAATTCTGGAAACAAGTACAGCATTTCACTGGTGCAAAGGACTTTGTCAAAGATAGCATCTGCTTCCTCTGTTTCATTGCCTGCATCCTGTTTCCGCAACTTACATACAGTGTTTAAAATGTACGCTCTTAACACAGAACTGACTTCTTTCCAGTGTAATGCACAGGAATGCTTTAGGATAGCTTCTGTGAGCCATGGCATTCATTGAAAAATCAATGCATGCCAGTTGGTACATCAAAGTTCAAGTCAATTTAACCTCTTCACGCCGGCAATGTCTGGGCCTAGACGCCGAGCAGCCGCACATTTGCGTTCTATTAAAAAAGGACCTATGTGCCGAGAGCGCGCACCCTGCGCGCTCCCAGCACACATGTCCGGTACTCATGGAAAGGTCCCGATCTCCTCTTTCGATCAGGACCTTTCCCGATCATATGACCGCTGTGACGGCACGTCACGGCGGTCACATGACCCTAAACCCTGCCCTGCCTGCCGGATTCTGAAACTCTTAAAAGGCCGGGAGGCGCCGGCGTGAAGGGGTTAAAGAAGAGTTCCAAGCTCCCCCCAAAAAATTAAAAGTCAGCAACTATAAATACTGTAGCTGATGACTTTTAATATAAGGACACTTACCTGTCCAGGGTTCCAGTGCCATTGTCACCCGGGGTCATTTTTCACTACCCTCCAGGTTCCCGATGCTGACATTTCAAGTAAGGGACACCAAAAGTGAAGCCTTGTGGCTTCATATCCTGTTTCCTACTGCACATGTGCAAGGTCACGCTGTGCCTTGTGATTGGTCCTGTAGTCTTCTGGGACCTGTGAAGAAGACTGGGGGGGGCGGGGGTGAACTTCTGTCTCAGTTCACCACGCCTGTCAAAACCATGTACCGCCCCCAAAAAAGTGCCAATGTGGCAGTGGAGGGGGGGAGGGTGCAAACAAGAAGAGCTTCCCCTTTTGGGTGGAGCTCCACTTTAAAATGTTGGGACACTAGCTTTAAGACTAATCTAATGGCAGTACAATAGATCTAAGGAATTAATGTTTGAATATGATGGGGAAGAGTTAGGCAATCCATACATATAGTGTGGATGGAAGAATCTGCATTGCCATCTATTGTACTTAGACAGCTGCCACACTCCTGGCTGTCTGACTATCCGAACAGTAACTGCATTTGCCCCTGCTACATGGCTCAGTTGATTTTTAAACTTGTTGATCAAGGTGGTGCTGACAGGGCCATTCATGGCTTGGATTTTGACTGAAATTCCAGATATTGCTAGCTTTAAAATCTTTGCCACGTTTTATTGCTTTCTTTGTCCCTGTGAGGAGATTATTCCTCACTTTATGTCCTGGTAACACGCAGGCTATTGCTATGAATTGAAAGAGGAACAAAACTCTCCTATCCTCTGAGGACAATGTCATTTTGGCATCTATTTAGATCTGCAGCTAATGAAAATTATCACCAGAGGCATACCTTGAATGTAGAGTGTGCTAGTTGGCAGGATGTAAATGAAAATACTGCAGAAAACCTTAGTATGTATGACTAGAAATGTACTAATATTTCTAACGAGCTTTTTTAGGAAACAGCTCAATCAGTGGATTTAGTTCTTTGAAGAAAGGCTGCAGTGAGAGAAATTTGGGGGCTGCCACTGCTGACCATTCTAAAAAGGCTTGTTTCCTGGCTGTTTTACTGATCTACTGGCTTCAATACTGAGTCACTGACTTGAGAATGCAGAACAAGGAGGTCCTTATCTGCAAATTTCTAGGGTATCATTACTAAGGTAGTCAGAGGACCAGCCAATATTCAAACCATGTATGGGCAGGCTGAATGTTGATTGATCAGCTTGGGTACAACCAGCCTGCTGGATTTTAAATATGATTATTGTGGCTGTTATAGCCACTAGCAATAATCATTGTGTCCTCCCAGTGGACTAAGCCCTGTGGAAGAGGAGAAAACCTATAGTAGCTGTTGTTACTACAGTGATCCGCACTGTGTTCTGGGTCTTGAGCTGAGCCACTGCCCTACTGCATAACAGGGAATTGCTCACTCTGCCTGGGTGCCATTCAGAGGGCACATGCTCAATGAATGCAAATGTTCTCTGATTGGACGAGGTTGAGAGGTGGAACAGTGACATCATGATACCCACCTAATCCGATCAGAGAATGCCTTGTATTCATTAGGAAAAATACAAGAAGTTCTCTGAATGGCACATGTGCCAAATGAAGGACCCCCCCCCCCCCCCCCCTGTGTTTACTATGCAGCAAGGCAGCCACTTCATCTGGGATTATGAAGACAGCAAGGATCACTGTTGCAGTGGTGGCTACTACAGTGTTCTTCCCTTCTATAGGGATCGGCCAGGTATGGATAATGCATACCTGCTTTGATCTGTGCTGGACCAAGGTAACTATGCAAAAACAAACATACATACATTTAATTCAGCTTTAGATTATCACTGAGCTTATGTCTGAATGTTTTGTTATGATATAAGGTGGAACTACAGTAGTAAGTATGGCAATTTGTAGTTTGCTAATCCATAGTATTCAGTCTTCTCATGACATACCATCTTGTTTTTATTTCTTAAACCAATCTAGTTGGCAGGTTATGTTTTTAGCAGTGTGTGTGTGTGTGTACACACACATTATATTGCCAAAAGTATTGGGACGCCTGCCTTTACACGCACATGAACTTTAACAGTATCCCAGTCTTAGTCCATAGGAGTTCAATATTGAGTTGGCCCACTCTTTGCAGCTACTGCAGCTTCAACTCATCTGGGAAGGCCGTCCACAATTCTTAGGAGTGTGTCTATGGGAATGTTTGACCATTCTTCCAGAAGCGCATTTGTGAGGTCAGGCACTTATGTCAGACGAGAAGGCCTGGCTCGCAGTCTCCACTCTAATTCATCCCAGAGGTGGCCTATCAGGTTGAAGTTAGGACTCTGTGCAGGCCAGTCAAGTTCCTCCACCCCAAACTCCCTCATCCATGTCTTTATGGACCTTGCTTTGTGCACTGGTGCGCAGTCATGATAGAACAGGAAGGAGCCATCCCCAAACTGTTCCACAAAGTTGGGAGCATGAAATTGTCCAAAATGTCTTGGCATGCTGATACCTTAAGAGTTCCCTTCACTGGAACTAAGGGGCCATACCCAACCCCTGCAAAACAACCCCACACCATAATCCCCCCTCCACCAAACTTTACACTTGGCACAATGCAGTCAGGGAGGTACCGTTCTCCTGGCAACCGCCAAACCCAGAAACGTCCAATAGATTGCCAGACAGAGAAGCGTGATTCATCATGCCAGAGAACACATCTCCACTGCTCTAGAGTCCACCACTACATCTAACGCTTTGCATTGCACTTGGTGATGTAACGCTTGGATGCAGCTGCTCGGCCATGGAAACCATTCCATGAAGCTCTCTACACACTGTTGTGCTAATCTGAAGGCCTCATGAAGTTTGGAGGTCTGTAGCTTTTGCCTCTGAAAACAGTTGGCAACTTCTGCACATTGTGTGCTTCAGCATGCGCTGACCCCGCTCTGTCATTTTATGTGGCCTACCAGTGGCTGAGTTGCTGTTATTACCAGTTGCTTTCACTTTGTTATAATACTAATAACTGTAACCCATGGAATATTTAGTAGTAAGGAAATTTCATGGATGGACTGATTGCACAGGTGGCAACTATAGAAGCAGTCTGAATGCCTAGGTGCTTGATTTTATACACCTGTGGCCAAGGAGGTGATTGGAACACCTGAATCCAATGATTTGGAGGGGTGTCCCAATACGTTTGGCTATATAGTGTGTATGTACACTGCTCAAAACATTTAAAGGAATACTTTTCAATTAAGAATATAGCATCAAGTCAGTTAAACTCCTGGGATATTGATCTGGTCAGTTAAGTAGCAGAGGGGGTTGTTGATCATTTCAGCTGCTTTGGTGTTAATGAAATTAACAGCAGGTGCACTAGATGAGCTACAATGAGACAACCCCTAAAACAGGAATGGTTTTACAGGTGGAGGCCACTGACATTTTTTCCCCTACTCATCTATTCTGACTGTTTTTCACTAGTTTTGCATTTGGCTAGGTTCAGTGTCACTACTGGTGGCATGAGGTGATACCTGGATCCTACAGAGGTTGCACAGGCAGTCTAACTCCTTCAGGATGGCACATCAATACGTGCCATTGCCAGAAGGTTTGATGTGTCTCCCAGCACAGTCTCAAGAGCATGGAGATTCCAGGAGACAGGCAGTTACTCTAGGAGAGCTGGACATGGCCGTAAAAAGTCCTTAACCCATCAGCAGGGTTGGAATCTGCTCCTTTGTGCAAGGAGGAACAGGATGAGCACTGCCAGAGCCCTATCAAGGGACCTCCAGCAGGCCACTGGTGTGAATGTATCTGACGAAACAATTAGAAACAGACTTCATGAGGGTCTCTTGAGGGTCCGACGTCCTTTAGTGGGCCTGTGCTTACTCCCCAGCACCATGGAGCGTGATTGGCATTTGCCATTGAGCACCAGACTTGGCAGGTCCGCCACTGGCACCTTGTGCTTTTCACACGAGAGCAGGTTCACCCTGAGCACGTGACATGAAAGGGTCTGGAGAACATCGTTCAGCATGACCATTTTTGGTGGTGGGTCAGTGATGGTCTGGGAGGCATATCCATGGAGGGACGCACAGATCTCTACAGGTTATACAATGGCAACCTGTGTGCCATTAGATATCGGGATGAAATCTTTGGACCCATTGTGAGAACCTACACTAGTGCAGCGGGTCCTGGGTTCCACCTGGTGCTTGACAATGCCCGACCTCATATAGCGAGATTAAGCAGGTAGTTCCTGGAGGACGAAGGAATTGATACCATCGAATGGCCCCTACACTCGCCTGACCTAAATCCAATAGAACACCTCTGGGATATCATGTTTCGGTCCATCCGATGCCGCCAGGTTGCACCGCAGACTGTCCAGGAGCTCAGTGATGCCCTGTTCCATATCTTGGAGGAAATACCCAAGGACACCATGCCCTGACATTTTCAGGCATGCATACAAGCATATGGGGGTAATACAAATTACAGAGTACCATTTTGAGTTGCTGCAATGAAATATCAGCAAAATGGACTAGCCTGCTGCATTATTTTTTCACTTTCATTTTCAGGGTGTCTTTGCATTCAGTCCGCTGTAGGTTGATAATTTTCAATTCCATCAAATGATGGGGTATCCTTTCCTTCCTAACACATTACCCAGTCCATATCAGTATAGATGTCCAGTGTAACATTTTACCCCATTGAGATCTGATGTGTTTTCAAAGTGTTCCTTTAAATTTTTTTAGAGCAGTATATATACACATACACACACTCACATACAAAAACATATACACAGTATCTCACAGAAGTGAGTACGCCCCTTGCATTTTTGTAAATATTTTATTATATCTTTTCATATGACAACACTGAAGAAATGACACAATGTGACGTAGTGAGTGTACAGCTTGTATAACAGTGTAAATTTGCTGTCCCCTCAAAATAACTCAACAAACAGTCATTAATGTCTAAACCACTGGCAACGAAAGTGAGTACACCCCTAAGTGAAAATATCCAAATTGGGCCCAAAGAGTCAATATTTTGTGTGGCCACCATTATGTTCCAGCACTGCCTGGTTACTCTTGGGCATGGAGTTCACTAGAGCTTCACAGGTTACCACTGGATTCCTCTTCCACTCCTCCATGACGGAGCTGGTGGATGTTAGAGAATTGCGCTCCTCCACCTTCCGTTTGAGGATGCCCCACAGATGCTCAATAGGGTTTAGGTCTGGAGACCTGCTTGGCCAGTCCATCACCTTTACCCTCAGCTTCTTTAGCAAGGCAGTGGCCGTTATGTTGGAATACTGCCCTGCCCAGCCCAGTCTCCGAAGGGAGGGGATCGTGGGCAGCACAGTGGCTAAATGGTTAGCACTTCCGCCTGGCAGTACTACTAGGGTCGTTGGTTAAAATCCCAGCCACGGCACCTCCTGCCTGGAGTTTGCATGTTCTCCCTGTGCCTGCATGGGTTTCCTTCGGGTACTCCGGTTTCCTCCTACACTCCGGTTTCCTCCTACACTCCAAAGACATGCTGGTAGGTTAATTGGCTCTAGTATGTGTATGTATGAATGTAAGTTAGGTAGGTTAGATTGTGCGCCCCTTGAGGGTTAGGGACCGATGTGAATGTACTATATATATATATATATATATATATATATGTAAAGCGCTGCGTAAATTGACGGCGCTATATAAGTACCTGAAATAAATAAATGCGTTGCTTAAGTATGTAACAGTGCATCTTGGCATTCATGGTTCCCTCCATGAACTGTAGCTCCCCAGTAAAGCTGCAGCTTCACATTGTAGCAAAGTGTCATTTCTTCAGTGTTTGTCAAATGAAAAGATATAATAAAACATTTACATAAATCAGAGGGGTGTACTCACTTCTGTGAGATACTGTGTATATGTTAATATGTATGTATGTATATATATATATAAAAATTAAAAGGAACACAGATATATATATATATATATATATATACACACACACACACACTGTCGCAATGCAAAAAAAAAAAAAATTTGAAAGCACTGGATGCAGATGGGTCCAAGTAAGAAACAGCTACACTTAGCCCAAATATGTTGGTTTGTATTAGATCATTCACCATATTTGGGCCAATTCCAAATATAGTGTTAGCACATAATCTCCAGGGAGACACCACCCTACAATTCCCTGTATATTTAGAATCATTACATGCCACACTTGGGGGTATCTGAGATACAATGGGTTCTTTAAAAGTATTACCGTAAGAACATTTTAACAATGTATTGCTTTTTTTTTTTTTTTACTTTTCTTTACCTCACATGCCTGCTTAGGGCCCTAAATTAAGTTCACTTTTTTTCCCCTCCTCAAGAAGCAGGTAACCGTCAGCACTCTTCTTAAAGCATCCTCTGATGATGTAGGACATAAAGGTGTAAAGAAAAAAAAAAAAAAAAATCCTAAACCCTCCTAATTTTTAGGAGACCCATTTTCAGCATCGTGGACATGGATATCCGTAAGCAACCATGCAGTTAATATTTTATAGTAAGCACAGTATGCTTTGTAAACAGGGCAAAATGTATTCCCCAGTCTTATGAAATTTCAGACATGTTGGAAATGTAATAAATAGCACAATCATATTTTTTTTTTTTCTCTCCCCAGGTGAAAGTAGCAGATCCTGAAGGAGTTCTACAGCTGGCTCGATCGTTGCTTGAAAAACAAGAGTGAAGACAAAGGCTCTGCAGTTGGCATTAGCTGTGGAAACCTATAGCATTAAGAAGTCAAAAAAAAAATATACAAAATTATATATAAATTTATATTGTGCAACTTGCTTGCAACTTCAATGTGACTTTGATCAATCATAATAGACTATGACACATTATCAAACTTGCAAAACCCTCTAAAGTTGCAGCCAAAGTCACAAAGATAAGACAAACAACTTCCTTTTTTTCGACTTTTAACATTGCAGTCTTTAGCACATGGAAAACAAAGAAAAGTAGAGCAGGAACTTTTTTTGTTGTTGGTGTGACCTGAGTGGCAACAATTAAGAGGGAAGCCATTGAAATGAATGTATTTTGACTTGTCATGCGACTGTGTTGCATGGGAAGTCACAGCAGTGTGAACCAGGGCTCAGTCCTACTTCCAGAGAGAAATACACTTGACTTTCCAAGTACAACATCCAAGTAGCAAGTGCTGGACAACACTGGTGCGGCTACTGTATAGGTTTACCTTTTACAAAAATCAAAAACTGTCCCCCTTCTCCCTCATTATTCTGGGGGTTAAAATACCAGTCTTGTTTGTATACACTGGTTGGCTAACCCATACCCAAGCAATATTTACATGCTGCAGCTCTGGCTTTTTTGTGAACCACTTACTGATTTCCACAAAGCAAGGCTTGATTATGTACATTAGCAGCTACAAAGAACACATACATGTGCTCCATACATGTGTACAGTTGAGTATAGGCAACAATACTTCCTGTGGACCAGCAGTGTACATGCATTCATTCTGCATCTTGGTGGCTTGTGTCAGAGGCACAACACTGCTAAACTCTAGGGTTAATAAGGCAGGCTTTGAGTTGGGGGGTGTAACAACTTTGCTGCAAGCTGTTTGCAGCCTTTATTCATGGATGAGCTGCTGCCTGTGCCCCTATTATACCAGAGGAGACTCTAGCTGTCAAAGCCCAGCCCCACAGATTACAAGTTCCACACTTCTGGGGAAATCTGCAGGGCTCCACTGGCACTTAAGACAACTGATCCCACTTTGTGTATTATGAGTGCTGGCAGAAGCTCTTGCTCTCCCACCAGAAGAGTATCCAATTCATCCACACTGTTTGTGTACATAATAGAGGGAGCTGTACTGGAGCCAGGCAAGCATTTGGGGAGATGTATTAAAGGAAAAAAGGTATTTAGACTTTTGTACCTCATTAAACATACAAAATTGTAGGAAACGCGAAGGTGGTTTTTTTTTTTTTACCCACAACAGCTAGATTCCAGCAAAGTTACATAGTCTGGCTGAAAAAAGACAAAAGTCCATCCAGTTCAACCATTAAAAAAAAAAAGTTATAATCCTACACCCACAGTTGATCCAGAAGAAAGCAAAAAAAAAAAAAAAAAAACCCCAGCAAAGCATGATCCAATTTGCTCCTGCAGAGGAAAAAAATCCTCCCTGACCCCCCCAGAGGCAATCGGATATTCCCTGGATCAACTTTACCTATAAATGTTAGTATCCAGTTATAGTCTGTGTATCCAAGAAAGAATCCAGGACTTTTTTTAAAGCAATCCACTGAGCTGGCCAGAACCAACACTTGAGGGAGTCTATTCCACATTTTCACTGCTTGCACTGTGAAGAAACCTTTCTGTATTTGGAGATTAAATTTCCTTTCCTCCAGACGTAAAGAGTGCCCCCTTGTCCTCTGTGATGACCTCAGGGTGAATAGCTCTACACCGAGTTCACTATATGAACCACTGATTTATTTATACATGTTGATCATATCCCCCCTTAATCTCCTCTTCTCAAGAGAGAATAAATTCAGTTCCTCTAATCTTTCCTCATAGCTGATCTCCTCCATGCCTCTTATCATTTGGTTGCCCTTCTCTGTACTTTCTCCAGTTCCCCAATGTTTTTTTTGTGAATTGGTGCCCAAAATTGAACTGCATATTCCAGATGAGGTCTTACTAATAATTTGTATCGGGGTAATATGATATCTCTCTCTCTGGAGTCTATACCTCTTTTAATACAAGAGAGGATTTGGCTTGCTTTAGAAACCGCAGCTTGGCATTGCATCCCATTATTAAGCTTGTGATCTACCAGAACTCCCAGATCCTTCTCCACCATTGATTCCCCCCCAGTTGTACCCCCCCCCCCCCCCCCCAGTATGTATGATGCATGCATATTCTTAGCCCCCAAGTCCATAACCTTACATTTATCAACATTAAACCTCATTTGCCAAATAGTTGCCCAATTAAACAGTGCATTGAGGTCAGCTTGTAAGTTGGAGACATCCTGTAAGTACGTTATTCCACTGCACAGCTTGGCGTCATCTGCAAAGACTGAAATGGGATTTATAATCCCAGACCCTATATCATTTATATTAAAAAGTAAGGGTCCAACACTGAACCTTGGGGTACACCACTGACAACCCCAGACCATTCAGAGTATGAATCATTAACCACTACTCTCTGAATACGATCTTCTAGCCAGTTTTCTATCCATTTACATACAGATTTTTCCAAGCCTGTAGACTTTACCTGACACATTAGCCGTGTGTGGAGAACTGTGTCAAATGCTTTTGCAAAATCCAAGTATACGACGTCCACTGACCACCCCTCTGTCCAAGGTTTTGCTCATCTCATAAAGAGACAACAACAAAAGTTGTCTTCACCCAGATTCCATAACAGTGATCTAATATGTAAGGAGATCATCGAATGTTAGAGACTAATGCAGGCCATAGACGGTTCGTTTATCGTCCAATTTTTCGTCCAAAAGAATAATCGGACGATTTTCGCGGTTCCTGATAATTTCATTTATCGGTCATGCTGGAAAATTTGTGAAAAACGGACGATTTTCACAATCATTGGTGGCAACATCGATTTGCAGAACGAACAATGTTTCGTTTTCGGCTGAAAAATCGGCAGATAAAACGAACCGTCTATGGCCTACATTAGATAGCCCTTTCTTAAATTTTGGGGGCAAGAGTTTATACATTAATGCACGGAGAAATGGATGTTATTTGAACACAGAGCCAGTTATTTCTATGTGTACATTTACATTCGTAAACAATTTAGAAGCTGGGAAAATGTACTTGCCATGACACCAATACCACTAAAGCTCGACTGCTGTAATTTTTAGGCTTATTAGGTACTTGACTTATGAGTGTTCAGTGCTGCTTTACCCTCTCTTGTGCCAAATCCACAGCAAAAAAATAAATCACACACAAAAGAGACAGTCATATAATTTCCATACTTTTCAGCTAACCTCCCTTTATTAAAAAAAGTTCCACAGTCCGAATAACCCTTAAGTGCTAGAATTACATTCTGCAAAAGGTTTTTCTTACAGTGCCTGAACTCAAGTTCACAGGAAATAACCTTTGCATCATCATGTGATGTTTGTAAATACTGTCCTGTTCCAGGTTAGAATGAAAGAAAAAAAAAAAATAAATTGTGCATTAAAACATGATAAACCTGTGTGCTGAAGGTACAATTGTGTATTGCTGTTCCCTTTTTTTTTTCTCTTCTTCTTCTAAGCATTTGTTTCACAATTACAGCAGGAAACAAAACATCCTGAATACAGCTTATATGAAACTGGCATATTATTGCTGATAATCTTGCAGTATTTAATGCACATCACAGTTCACACCTTAAGATTTATTTTTTCAAACTTTAACAATCAGATAAAATATATATATAATATAGCTGACCATTGCATGTTTTACTAAGACTGTTATAGATGGTATATTAAAAAGGAAAAAACCCCACTATCTCTCAGCATGAAGAAATGTTTTCTTATGTTTTTTTTTTTTTTTTTTTTTAAAAAGGTCAGGTCATCCAAAACTGATGTTCTGATAAGCGAATACTCAATCATCAACTGGCTTGTAACAATATCATTATGGATTACTAGACAGAGGATCTGGTTCTGCCATTCCTAATGAGAATGTCCAAGTTTTCCTGCTGCAATCTGTTAGGCCCCTTTCACACAAATATTCTGATGGGGTCCCACCTGTCTGTTTTTCAGTTGGACCCAATTGGAACCTCCATTCTTCTCTATGGAGCAGCAGGTGTAAACTGATATGCGTCCGTTTACACCCGCTGACATCCGATCCATTCCCCTTCCATCCAGCAGAATGGATCAGATTACAGTCAGGTGTAAACAAATGGTCCATTTACATCCAACCTCCCACAGAGGAGAGCGGGCTGTAACCGTTCTGCATAAGCGGAGCAGACACAGATCTATCATCCGCCTGCTTAGCGGACACATCCCCTGCTAAGCAAGCAGATTGCATCCAGAATCTGCCTCGTGTGAAAGGGACCTAACACATAAAACATAACAGGGAGAACAAGAGAAACCCTCATGATGCCAAGTGGGCCGACCTGGTAACTTGGTTGCTGTACATTCCTGGCTAGACTGACCTTTTTAGGGGCAGTCCAGGAATTTTTTTGTATCATAAAGCAGAGCTCCATCCAAGAGGGGAAGTTCCGCTTTAAGCCTTTGTCCCCTGCTCCTCATTAAGGATTGGCACCTTTGAGGAGCGGGTACCCGAATTTGACAGGTACCCGCTCCCACTTCCGTTGCAATTGCCTAAGGGAAGCGGTAGTTGTCATCCCACCTCCCTCCCCGTAGTCTCCTGGGACACGTGCCAGGTCCCAGAATACTATGGGACCATCCAGAAAGCGCAGCACTACCCCCTTATGCACAGTGGGCACCGCCTGTGAAGCCGCAAGCTGTCACAGCCAGGTGCCCACACTGAAAATGCCGGCACCAAGGAGAGAAGACAGCCAGTGAAACCAGCCATGGTGAGTGAGGACACCGCTGGACTGAAGGACAGGTAAGTGTCTGCATTTTAAAAGTCAGCAGCTACAGTTTCTGTAGCTGCTGACTTTTTTTTTTTTTTTCAACTGGGACTTTAAAGTTCAGTCTGCAACAGTACCCAATTCTCACCATTCATATGTCGTGGACTGAAAATGGAGATTTATTATGGAACGATGCTGCTGTGTTATTGAATTTGTCCACGCTCATAATTAGAGCCTATAGTAGGTATAATGTTGGCATGAGTGATTTGCAGTATCTGTTGCTGGTTCTATTACCTTCCTGGACAGCCCCTTTGCAGAGAGGTTTAGTTATTGTGTCATTGGGATCTATATATGAGGTCTTTGAGAAGTTACCTGTTCTAACAGAAGCACTTTCATTTCACAGTCATATAAGCTAGTTAGTTTATATGAAAGTCTTATGAAAATTATTGAAAAACAGACAGGAGGAACCATAGGGTTTATTTCAAAACATAATAAAATGAATAGCTGCATGCCTTAAATCAATTGTAGCTCGAGTAGTTCCATTACACCAAGTGTCCGAATTGCTTCACTTTATAAAACAAAACCTTGGCATAAGTTTTTAAAAACAGCTTGAAACGTATTTTGTAATACAAAAATATAAAAAAAAAAAAAGCTTGGCTTCACAGAATCTTATTAAAGTTCAGTAAAAGCACAGGCACAGAGGACAGGACACAAACGTTCAGGTCTGCATTTGTGCTAAAGTTTCCCTTCGTATGTGAAAACGAACACAGCCAATAGTGATGAACATATAACACAGTGGCAATGTTTAACAACCACGCGATTGATTATAGCTATATATTTCTATTATGGAATTTTCTGTAACAAATCCGGAGACCTTAAATTTGTCCCCATTTACAGATTCTTCACAAAGAAGAAGAGTAGCCTTTCTGAATAAAGGGGCTCATTTCAAAAAGATTTCCCAAACAAAATAAAAATACCAATCTGAACAAGCTCCCCAAGTGTAATATAGAGGGATCCCCACCTACACATCAGCAGTAACTATTCCTACTGCTGCTTCTTTTACTTGATAGTCTAGAGGCCATTCTGTGAAAAAGTAATGTTCTAATACAGAACCACCATAGTCAATCATGGCAATGTACCACAGTTTATTAAGTAAAAAAAAAAAAAATTGTTCATAAGAAATATGCAGACTAACACTTCTGAAAATACTATATTCCTGGTTGTCACAGGAAACCAAATACTTTAGTTCTGATTCAGAGCCAAAACAAGTAATTATATTAGGCGTTCTGGTTTACTGGCAATGTGTTTTTTAGTTCTGGAACTCAAAGGGGTTGATTTACTAAACCTGGAGTGTGCAAAATCTGGTGTAGCTGTGCATGATAGCCAATCCACTTCTAACTTCAGCTTGTTTAATTAGGCTTTGACAAAAAAAAAAAAAAAAACCACAACCCCTCACTCAGGTTTTAGTAAATGAATCCCAAATTGTTGAAGACTATGACAAGCCAGGCATTTTTAGAAGCCTCTGCATTCCTCTCAGTACAATTACCTGCTTGGGAGATCACTTTTATTACTACACAGAGGGGCGTTAACAGAATGGATTTTCTGTTTTTATGAAAATCCCCTTGAAAGTGACATCTCCACACAGGAGGTCTAACAGTCCATTGCTTGCTCTGGCAATGGAATGGTTCAAGGGATGTCCATTCATATTCAGTACAGAATACAATTTGCATACAAAATTTATCAGATCAGATATACACACAATGCATCACTGAAGACACATTGGAGGCACTTAAAGCGGTATGATAAACTTACTCAAAATAAAAACTAAGTTTGAAATGTGTGATTTGCAAATGTAAAAAATGTCGATCAAGGTCAACTATAAAAGAGCCTTTGCATATATACACATTCTCTATTAAGCATTCAAAGCATTCCAGTGGCTCACACACAGGTAATTGTGGCATGCATTACAATACTTCCTGTCAGCTCCCTACATGCAACACTTCTGAGTTACAGTGATAAGCAAAGCAATTCAACACCCACTCCATACCCTGGGTAAGGCTGCAGTGTTCTCTGTGACAATCACAAACAGCAAAGGACAACTATGCTGCAGGATAAAACAGTGACAAGTGCACCCAATCAACCTGCTGAAAAAAAATCTAACCTGGGCTGGTCCACAACCCATCATAGCCAAAGTAAAGCAATCATAAATGTTACATTTACAGTGGGAAACATTTTTCCAGCAGCTTGTGTGCAGACAGAATCCTTTAGCACATATGTCATGCAAAGCCCTGCACAGATCTACATTCTGCTCTGACAGAGACATATCCTAGACAAACTAATAAAGACTTGCCTTCCTCTCTGAAAATGGAGGATGATACTAGAAAGTCCTCGAATTTACGTCTGCCTCTTGCCTGACTAGAGTGAAAGTGCATTCTTAGTACAAAGGAACTGCCCCTTCCAGAAAAAGTCTCACTTGAGTATCCAAAATATTGTAAGACAGAAGAATGTAGCCCTTCATATAGGGAACATAATCTATGCATAATGATCAGGAGATTGGATTGATTCTCCTCTGTGGTCCAATTGGTCCTGAAGATGAGCTATCTCAGCAAGTTCATTTAACTCCTGGAACTGTCTATCCGTTTTGTGGCTGACCAGTGACCTGTAAAAATGAACGGCAAATACTATGAAGATTAATCCAAATGGAACCATGATGGAAGTTGAAGCAATAGCTGCTGCTTTGCCAGAGCTGATAGAAGAAGATGTATCGTTGACTGCCGACTTTGGACTGTTCACTGGAAGAAACTTCACCCAACAAAGCAAGACAACTTCAGCCAGGAACAGCAGCGTCCCAATGACTGTAGAGAAAGCCCATGCAAGTTCAATGTGACGGTGCATCCTTTCATGGGGGGACTCTTTCACAGAGTTCAGATTATGGACATTGCTCACTGCTTCAATGTTGGGAAGAATGCAGGTGCTGATCATTAGTGCAAATAAATGTACAGCGACCAGAACAGTAGTACAGGCACTAAACGCAATCAGGAGACCAGTGGGGTAGACATGATCTGCTTCCAGTTGGACTTCTACCATTGCAACCTGAAAAAAAACAAAAACAATTTACTTAAAAAGGCTGTAAAAAGGGCCACGGATTTTCTAGCACATGGTACAAATCTTAAGAACAGCAACATACGTCAAAATGTATTCATGTATGCAGTGTGGGTCTTTACGTAGTGTCCTAGTTTGCAGACATTTTGTGAATATCCAGTGCACTGAAGATGTTCTCTCTCTTCATGGTTGTTTCCACCATGACCCAAAATAGCCCTTTAAAAAGGTAAAGCTTAAAGCAGAGTTCCACCCAAAAAGGGGAAGTTCCGTTTTAAAGACTGGTCCCCCGCTCCACATTAAGGATTGGCACCTTTGGGGAGTGTGGGGGTGGGGGTTGAATGGGTACCGAATTTGACAGGTACGCGCTCCCACTTCCACTGCAATCGCCTAGGCGATCGGAAACAAGTTGTCCTCCTACCATCCCTCCCTGAAGTCCTGTGGGACACGGGACAGGTCCCAGAATATGACGGGGCCATTCTTGTAGCTGCTGACTTTATTTTTTTCTTTTACAGAGTGAGTGGAACTCCGCTTTAAGGATTACCTGAAAACAGCCCCATTCTTTCTTTAGCCATCATAAATTAGTTTTTGCATGGATCACTTTACGTCATCTTGGCTGAATTTGCAAAGGTCATTGTACAATACACAATTTGTTTACAGCACGAAGAAGCAGCAGGTTGCCAGCCTAATGGTATTTTTGTCTAATGAGCACTGCTTTAATTTGAGTTTTTCAAGATCCCTTTGTCTGATCAATTCCACAGATCTCTCACAATAGTCCTACCAAGAAGCAGAGCAAACTCAGAGTCTACCTCCTACAGCATTGACCGTAAATGTAAAATATAAAAATCCCTTCAGGACACTTTGTTAAAATTTAAGGCCTCGGATGGCAGTCCACATCAGCACATTACTACCACAGGTATGGCCAGGTGTCTGCGTTCAGTTATGGCTGCTCAGCCTGTACAAGTCAGTGACAGGTCTCACAGCCGTTCACATGTAATCGTGGAGTCATTACTTTCATTTAGGGACAGCTGACCGCCCTGTACCCAAACTGCATGCAGGGCTATTCTTCTGGCCCTAACCATACGTAATCACACCTTGTGCAATTACCTGTGAACAGCCACGAACTGTGGCAGACTGTCGATTTGTACAGGCTTCCTGTCCGCAACTGAGCACAACCACCTGGCGGTACCAGTCTCAGAAATATGCTGAGATGGCAATGTACAGCCCTGAATGGCAATGTTAAGGCCTAAAGCTGAAGGTTAAGCTGCTTTTCCTTTTCTGATTCATCTCCACCTTTCTTCATTAACCTCCCTGGCAGTATTCCCGAGTGTAGCTCAGGGTAAAGTTTCAGTACCAAGAGAGGTAACCCCGAGCTACACTCGGGATTACCATGCGGCGTTGCACAGGGATTCCCTACAGCGCTTACCGTATCCTTCGCTCCCGCGATGCGTCCCCTGCAGCATCCCCAGCCATCTCCTCCGGCCGATGCCGGCATCTGGCTTCCGTGTTCTGGTCCCTGTGACGTCGGGACGTACGGGCGCCGCAACCGGCAGCAAATTTGAAAATTTTAAAAAAATTACTTTTTTTTTTTTAAAAATGATTTCATAGCAAAACATTCGTGTATCAAAGCATTTCACATACATTTTGTCCCTACTGCTTCGTCCTGTGCCCTGCCTGCATTTTGACTGTTCTTTCTGCCTGGAAACTTAGATAAGTCCACGGCATCCAAAAAGCGTCCCTTTACGTCAAAATCGGTTTTAGACCGGCTAGAGAACAGCGATAATAAATCAGAACTACTTGCAGAATTGAGTGATAATGATTCATGAGGGAAATTTGTCAGACACTGAAAACGATTTTGCGACTTTGCTCAGTGATGTGCGAACTTGGCGCTATATTTCAAATTTCAGTGTTTTTGGTTTGATTATATTATTGAATTAAATTTATTATTATATTATTTTTTATGAGTATTTATTAAGTAAGTAATTACTAAGAATTTCAGGCCTACAATACATAACACCAAATTTCCATGCAAAAAAATGGTACCGCTTTTAGAACAAAATTCCTGACATAATCGTACCGCCAGGGAGGTTAATGTGCTAATAAATGTTTTAAAGTAAAACCTGCATTCATTACATACCTTATTCTAAACCAAGTGATTACAGGGTATCTGCAATTCTCAGTGTAATCATATCATGGCTGGCGGGAGGGGCTGCAAATAGCTTTAATGGCCTGGGTAAGGCCCACATGTGATGCCGAACTGTTATGATTGACAGAACTGAAATCCAATCATTGACAGAAGTAGGCCAGGGACATCACAGCTAGGAAGCAAAGGGCAAGATGATGCTGGATATCCTCCAGCCAAAAAATAAGGCATGTTCTGACTTGCTGCAACATCTAATGCACAATGTGAGATGTTCAGTGTGTAGTGAAATCAACGTAAGTAGTTTCAGTACAGAAGGACAAGCCCGTACAACTGTGCAAGAATAAAGGCAAGGCTGGAGTTTAGTTTGAAATAAAATCCTGCTAGGGTAGGATATTTCAAACATAATCCGGAGATTATGTATATTAATATGGAATTTACAGGAATATTACCAAAAATAACATATCCCTTAACAAGCCTCAAAAAAATTCCTTTCTTGGCAACTGACTCACAGTGGATCTGCAGGAAAATCAAATTAAAAAGACACCCTTTATGATGCGGTTATCTAATAATTCAAAATTGCTAAATGGATATTTTTGTAAGTGTTTGTAATTATTCCTCTTGCTTTTTACAGTGATTTCCACATTTCCTTGCATAATAAAAATCAGGCCAAGTGTGTTAGATGAGCAAGCCAATGGAAGTAAAAAGAAAGGGTTAACCTAGGAAGGCCTCATTAAAAAAACTGAGGAAGGTTTGAATAGGTAGTCAGGACCACCTAAACTCAGACTGCGGAGGTCAGAAGTAAAGCTGACCATATACTGGTCAATTGGCCAAGGGTAAAAAAAAAACCCACTACAAGCGAGATGGATGGAAGAATCCATCCAGAACGCCACCAGGACACTGTTTTAGTGATGACAACGGCACCTATCAGAATACACATGATCAGGGGAGCTGCAGAAGTTTTTCCTATGTCCTTTCTGTCCAGCGGGGATAGCCGCACACTGATCTGCATTTGGTCAGTCCCTGTTCAACTGGACAAACTTTGATCAGTGTATGACCAGCTTAAGTAACGCAAAGGTCCACAGTAGAGGTCAGTGGTATGCAACACAGAATGCAAGGGTCAGTAGTATTTAACATACAGTGCAGAGGTCAGAAGTAATTAGCATCCATATTTTTTTCACCGTTTCGCAGATGTACACAGTTTTAAGATGCAGCACATTGGGTATCCATTTTCCTCAACACAACCTCACTGATTATTTTCTACAAAAAAATTATATTGTGTTTGTGTGCACTAAAATAAATTTTAGGGTATTTGTTTCCTGAAACTTTAGATTTGATAAACAGTTGCACAAAATACGTGCAAAATAAACAATTTCAACCATCTTTTTCATTCTACAGGGCCTCTTCTTTTAGATAATATATAAATACAGGTGTACCTCAGTTTACGAACGCCTCGGTTAATGTAATTTTCGGTTTACGAATGAAAATCCATTGAAAATGACTCGGTTTATGAATTTGTTTCACAATACGAATGGATTAATTGGTTTTCAATGCATTTACGAATTAATTTTTAATCATGTCCCTGTACAGTATTTATGCCTTTAAAGTGCACTTCATAAAGAGTTTTGAACAAATAAAAGACTTTTTTTTTTTTTTTACTTTTTTCTGACCTCCAGAACGGATTAATTGGTTTTCAATGCATTCCTATGGGAAACCGCGTTTTGGTTTATTAATTTTTTGCAATACGAAAAGTCCTGCAGAACACATTAAATTCGTAAACTGAGGTACGCCTGATAATGAAAAACAGCTGAGTTTTTACCTTAAGTGTTACTAAACCCACAACATCCTGTCTTTTCTGATCCTCCCCTTCTTTTACTGCTCCCAATCCATCTGCCATAGTACAGAGCAGCAGTGGCAAGTCTGCCCATGCTCTGTTTGTGTGTATGGCTACAGAGCTTTTGTTTCTTAGGGGGAGGGTGCATGTGATCGGTGCAGGGCCAATCACTGCTGTCCAGAAAGAGGGTCAGGGGTTATGCAGCCTCATAGGACAGAGGATAATGAAAACTCGTCCTACAAAATTAACCAGTGCTCAGCTGGACACTGATAGAAGTGACAAGACTGCTATATACTGATGAGACAAGGTATTTAGCAGTTTATATTTACTAAAATAATTGCATTTCCATTGTTCTGAGTACTGTAGGAGACCTGATATAGTGAATGCAGGGTCATGGGTTTAGTAACACTTTAACGCAGGTAATGCTTTAAGGTACAAAACCCTTTGACTTTAAAACCACTTTAAACAATAGCTAAACACAAAATGGCATAACTAAAGCTAGGTAAATTGTATGAAATCGACATCACTTCATAAAAATGAGTAATGCATGCTAAATGCAGCTCACAAGTGCTTAGCACAGAACAAATAGTTTAAGGATTTTCTTTTTTATTAAGAAATTCCTCACTGCTACAGGGGATGTATTAGTTGAACATTTGTTACCAGCTCAGTGTTTGCTGCCAAGTAACGCCCCTGCTAGGACAACAATTGTCCATTTATAACATACTTCATAGAAGCCTGCACAAACAAAATGTGACCGGGTGTAGTCCTGCTCTAGGCCAGCACAGATTAAAGAAAGGTACTGTACAGATTAAGATCCAACAATAGCCAACATTTTGCATAAACAATACCTTTATGAAGCAGAAAGAAACAAAAGTTACTTAGTTTAGTCCATGGCTCGTTCTGACTGCACACATGCGGTGTATGTTCAAAGACTTGAAGAGTCCCTGTAACCAACATACAAACAATATGCATGTAAAAGGTACAGGGAAATCAAATAACTCAAGTGCTAAATTTAAGTGT